AAAAAAAAAATCACCTGTCGAATCACTAGTTAGTAGTTACACACATAAATAAGATATATAGAAGAGAGAATAGTTTTTTTTTTTTTGAAGGAAGAATAGCTTTTTTTTTTTTTTGATAAAAGAATAGCTTGTTTTGAGTTTTGCACTTGATTGTTTTGCTGCTTCATTGTTTAAAAAAAAAAAAAACAATCAAGTGCAAAACTCAAAACAAGCTATTCTTTTATACTTAGAGTGTTTTTTCTCATTAAAAACTTCTTCACTAATTTGTCTATTAACATATTTTTTTTCAAATATTCCCAAATTTAATATTTCTTCATGGCATACTCTAAAATGTCAATTTTTTTTTCAAATGCATCCGAGATATAATTTTTTTTTATTAATTTACCCTTTTTGTAGCATATGCTTTTTTTTTTACTTTTTTATCTTTCAAATAAATTCAACTTGTAAATCTTTAAATACTTTTTAAAGCGTGCGCATATATATATATATATATATGTGGGAAAAGATGCATTTGTTTTTTAAATTTTATTTTTAACCATCATTATACATGAAATTGTTGAATTTGATGAGTTTTTAATAAGTTTACACTTAAAAAAATCATTATTTATTCTTCAATTTTTTTTTTTATTAATTTACCCTTTTTGTAGCATATGCTTTTTTTTTTTTACTTTTTTATCTTTCAAATAAATTCAACTTGTAAATCTTTAAATACTTTTTAAAGCGCGCGCATATATATATATATATGTGGGAAAAGATGCATTTGTTTTTTAAATTTTATTTTTAACCATCATTATACATGAAATTGTTGAATTTGATGAGTTTTTAATAAGTTTACACTTAAAAAAATCATTATTTATTCTTCAATTTGAAAAATATTAGTTATGTTGACTTATATGTACTCATGTTTGTAACAATGAAAGCATTTGTTAGTATGTTATACATGTTTATGTTTCACTCAAACTATTAGTTGAATTATTTGTATACTTATGTATATATATTATTAAAGAAACAGTTAACGAACAAAATTATAATTGTTTTGTAAAATATTTTTTATTAAAAAAATATAAAAGCATGCAAATTGTAAAGTAAAAAAAAAAAAGTTACAAATGAGGACGTTCCTTAGGCACGTCTCTCATGCTAGTTATTAGTTAATACATAGAAAGATGACTAATGTACGGTTTCAACCAAAACGGCTACCTCTTTTTTTTTTTTTTTTTTTTTTGCCTTTAAAATTCCTTTAGTTTAATTTTTTTTTTCCTTTTTTGCTCTAAAATTTATTTATGTTTTTATTTTGATTAATTTTTACCTTTTTTTATTTATGTCCTTAAGCTTTATTTATTTATTTATTTTTACCTATGATATAAGGGTTTTGAATTCTACTCTTTATAATAGAATAGTGTGTGGACTTGTCTTTATCGATACCCACAATCACCACTATTTTAAAAGTGTTCTTCTTCTACTTTTGTTTTTATCTTTTTTCTCCTGGAATTTTGTTTCTTTCATTTTGATCCCTTTTAAAGAAAATTACACTCACTTATTAAAAGTTTAACAAGTTGAATATGCACGACCTACATGCATAGCACATGTTTTCAACTAGTCTAACTTCTAATATGAGGGTGATAGAATGCACTACATTTTTTATTTTTTATTTTGGTCGAAGTGAAAAAATAAAAATAAAAACATTAGATACTCCTAATCACTAGTCAGTCCGTATGAACTTTATTTTAAGAATTTCAACCTAAAAAAAGGCGCTTTATTTTTATGAATGAAAAACCTAAACAAGATTTTGCTAAAATCACGACCGTTGGATGGTTTCCAATCCAACGGCCAGAAAAGCGTTCAACTTCCCGCCGATGTAAAGCCCACCTCTTTTTATTTCTTATTTTACTTTTTTTTCATTTTTTTTTTCTTTAGTTAAAAGGAGAAGGATATACACTGCGCCTACTGAGGCTTCCGTTTCCATTATATTTTCCATTACCATTTCCTCTTCTCACTTTTTTTTCTTTTTTCACAATTTAATAATTCTTTCTGCTTTCTCTAATATCAACATTCACAATCCTGAGTTATCTGCAAAATCTCTCCTTTCTGTCATTTTATGAGCCTTGTAGTCTCTTCAAATTCCATTCAGAAGCAAAGAAATGGTAAGAAAATTTTCCTTTTTCACAGTCACCAATGACAAATTGATTCCTTTTGATGCTAAATCCTTTTACTATATTTAAAATTATCGTTATGAATACCAAACCATTTACTTTTCTGGGTATTCAATCTTTTTTGTTTTTGTTTTGTTTTTCCTGCTTTCTGGACTTGATAACCTTTTGGTTATTCATGTAATGGTTTTGTTTTTTTATTGCCATCTTTTGTGGATTCCAGAAATTAGAGGAACTTTCACAGTCTGATTTGTGTTTACCGTTTAGCTCAACTGAAAAAAAAAATATTACATATAAATGTTTGATATAGAGTTGATTTTCAAGTTTTGAACTTTCCAGTGAGTGCTATTTCACATTTTTCAAAAGGGTTGTTTGAATTTTGCTAGAATCGTATGTTGAGCATATAAATTTTAGATTAAGTTCTGTGATATAATTATAAAGTTTAAAACTTTGATGATAGAATCTTGATGGGTTATTAATAGCGATTGAAATTACTGTTGTTTGGATTTGTTTCTGAAGGTTGGATGCAAATTGCTCCTAAAGAAAAAGAAAACAGATTGGCTTAATGCTCTTTTGCACAGCAAATTCTTTGATTCTTGTGTTCATCATCCAGATTACCGCAAAAATGAGAAAAACTTGTTCTGCATAGACTGTAATCTTGGATTCTGCAGACACTGTGTGACAGCTCATTGCCTTCATCGCCGACTTCAGATCTGCAAATATGTTTATCATAATGTTGTTCGTCTTCAAGACATGCAGAAACATCTCGACTGTTCAAGAATTCAGGTTCATTCTATATTATCTGTCTTCAATTATAGAGACCCTTTTCTTTCTTTTGCCAAATTTGATGTGACTTGTGAATTATTGACATCATTTGATGGCATTGGGGACATTTATTAACCCTTCTTTCTTGTGAATGTCATCAAGAATTTCTGAATTAGTGTTCTCAATTATGAACTGATAAAGTATGGATTAGTACTGTTTCTGGTACAGTTTTGCTGATTTCCCTGAGATCAAATTCAAGTATTTTATTCGTGATTTGGTTGACAATTATGTAATCTCTTTGATTTGTTACCTCATCTGCATATCTTTTACTCGATTGTTTTTGCCTTTTAGGTAGTGGGTGACAGTCTCATCCTTTAAATGATGATGACAGTCTAAAGGAATAGTGAATTCTAATCCTGCTTTTTTTTTTTTTTTGGTAATATATTGAACTTTTAATTCTCATTTTGATTATCTTTTTTTTTTAACCAATCTCTTGCACTATGTTGCTGATGTTCAAATTGTGCAGTTGTACTTGTAATTAGTTGCAAATCTAATATAGCTATTTGATCCTTGCTAAATGGTGTAACAAGTGATAAGTATTGCCCAGTTTCTAATTACATTTTTATTTTCCTGTTTCCAACTGAAATTTTATTGCTTTGTTGGTTAAATAACAAATGAATTCTACTTTATGTTGCAGACATATAAAATCAATGGTGAAAAGGCTGTACATCTAAATCCCCGGCCTCAATCCAAAGATGCAAAGCCATCAACAAAGTCATTCTGTGCTGGTTCCTGTGAAGCTTGTGGGAGATACATACAAGACCCGCCTAATCGCTTCTGCTCCATTGCATGTAAGGTAAATTTGCAGTAAACCCAATTCCCGAACTTCCTTTCAGTGTTTATCGATTCAGTTCTCGTTTCTTACGACTAAATGTGATGGATAACCCGTGTAGTCCGAGAATCTGCACGTCTCAGTAACCCCAACTATAGAACTTCCTCGAAGTGTTTATCGATTCTGTTTACGTTTCTTGAGGCCAAAGGTGATGGATAATTCATGTTGTGTGTGAATTTTCAGGTCTCATTAGTTCCATTGGAGCCTAAAGACCAGAGCCAGAATTTCATAACTGTTCCTATTCCACAATATGGAGACTTGTCTTTCAAAGAAAACTGCAACTCCGAAACAAATTTGAGTGAAATGGAATCGTCCCTATCGTTGGCTGAGTCGGGCGAGGAGGTTCATGCTTGTTGGGTTAGTTCAGCATTGAAGCCAAGGAAGCTTCTGCGCAAGAGGAAAGGCATCCCTTTCAGAGCTCCTCTCTATTGATGAGTCTAAACTTCCCATCATAATTAATTTGTGCCTTTACATTATTGGTTTACATTTTGGTGTCACAAAAACAATAAAAACCACAGCTATTACAATCTACGAGTCATAAATTATTGAAGAAAATCACTCTCAAGCAGACCCCATTTTGGAATTTAGTTGGGGTTAGTTGAGGACTTGAGTGGGAAGCCTATATCGTCTGATGTGAGTTCTTAAGGTTGTACAGCATATATATATATTTTTTATTTAAAAAAAGGACGGTAAATTATAATGGTGGGAGAATTTTGGTCATAAAATCTTGCTTTAAATCATCTTTTGTGGGGCTCGCTGAGGAATTGAATACATAAAATTTTTTTGCCTTTTTTGTTAAAAATTTTCTCTTGGTGAGATTGTTGTATCTCCTATGGTTGAACTGGATATTCGTTGAATAAAATAAGATGTTGAACACAATACAAAATTGTTTGGTTAGTAACGCATTGCTACTAAAGGCTACATATTTGATGCTTTCTTGGGTTCTTTTCCTTTCAATGGGGAATGTTTCACACTGTGCTAGCATCAAGTATTGGTCGCTTTTTTCAACACCCTCTTTTCTTTATTGTAGAAACCGCCATAGATTGAGAGCTTTTGTCCCAATGTGTGTCGGATTGTATATATTGGTGATGGCCTCATGTTCCTGTTGGTTCTTGGTAGTTGTTTTTGAGTTGGGCCCTCTTTTTTCTCTCTCTTTTTTTTTTTTTTTTTTGCCCCTTTTCCATTATGGCAACTATAGTTTTCTTTATGTTATCATTTGGATTGTGGCGGACAGAAAGGTCAGAAAAGAGGGGTTTTTTGAGTGAAATTGGATGACATGAATTTAGGCCATGCAGTGAATCGAAAATAATAAAGGGCTAAGTTGTATGCATGTTGCACATGGATGGCCATTTGCCATACTGTGTTTTTTTTTTTTTTTTTTCCTCACATTTTGTGGCCTTGGCAATACGGTCAGAGAAGTGCATATGCTGACCATAACCTTTTTCACAGTGGACTGTCCTTTATTGTGCTTGAACCATGGTTTAGATTAGGGATAACCCTAGATCGGTTTCATATTCGTAAAGTAAGGCTCAGGGTTAAACTGCATTTATGTATACATATATATATATATATATACACGTATTATATGTGTGTGTGACTTGATTTATAAAAGCTTTTTTCCATTAGGTCTGCTCCATTTGCAAAACAAGCCTATTACTCTTCGAGAGTTTCTCTGATAAGACCAGCAAAAATGAACTACTGTAATCTTCTATATTAGAAATTATCTGTCCCACATAATCTTTTCAATCTGTTGTGATTTTGATCAATCTCACAGTAAAAAATGATCCTACTGATAGAGAGGCCATATTAGAGAAAATCCTTTATTCTTCAACCTTTGTACTAAAATGAACACTATGCTAACAAAACAGTGGAAAGCTAACTATTTTCCGAAAGGTATTACTTTGCTAAATTGAGAGAGAGATTAAGGGAAGTAAACTCTCAAAGCTGGATTTTTATGGGAAATCTAGAAGAACCGATGTTCTTTTTGAAATGTCGCAAGATTTTTAGTTCATTTTCTTGAATTACATATATCAACTAAAACCGATAAGTATTTTAAGAGAATAGTGATCAGTTATATATAAATCATATTAAATTGAGCTGTATGTCCCATCGTGATGTTCAATATAACATTAAATTAGATTGAGCATAGTTAAAAATATCATATTTTGTCAACCGGAACCGACTGAGTTCAGAAGAAAACCAGTTTAGAGTCGATTTTTCAATCTAGATGTTCAATTAGTTAGAATTCGATACAGTTTCGATCGATTGGTTTTCTCAGTTAAATTGGATTTATCGATTTTTTTGTACAGCCCTGCTTTTAAAAACTGTGCGTGAATGAACTTTAAAAGTTGTTCTTATCTATTAACCTAGCAAAAAATAAAAATAAAAACAAACAAACAAACAAGGGGTAAAATTTTTGTCAAACTAGCTTTATCATCAAACCGATCCATTTCAATAGGATCCATTTGACTTGTAAACTCGAGCATTAGCCTTACATTGACTGGAATCCATATCACAAATAGTAAGATTATATAAATATTTTATATATGAGAATAAAAACATAAAGAAAAGGATGTGACATCTGCCCTTGCTTGTTTGTTTGCTTGATTTTTATTTATTTTATTTTTTCTCTCTTTTTCTTCTATTAATTTGAAATGACTGCATGTGCTTTTAGACCGGTCCCAGTCCCAGATATGATGAATAACGAATCATCTACAGATTCTCCAACCCGGAAAAAGAACCCAATGAAGAAAAAGAACACCTTGTGATCTGTAAAGATAATAATATCTTCACATTGTAAAGAATGAAAAATATTTCCAAGGACAAGTTGACAAGTTGGAGTCCAATATTGTCACCAGTTTGGCATTAGATGACTCCCTAGACCAGACAATCCCAAATTTATAATAAAACAAATGATTTCCCACTTTTATTTATATATGTATATGGTGATCATACTAAGTATGCATTTTTTTTGTTTGTACATAGTGATCAAAATTATAATTAAAAAAAAACTAAAATTCAAACCAAGTGTAGATTCAATCTCCCCAAAACCTAAATAAATTGATCTGAATCATATCTATCATAAAAAATGTTATGAGATTGAGAGTTTTATAATAAATTGCTAGTTGTTAATTGTTTTCTTTGTTAGTTTAGAAGGTCATCTCAACAGTAGCTAGTTTTCTCTTCCCTTATTCTTGATGGTGGTAAGTGGTAACTCAACGCCATGCAATATTAATAGATAGTTATCAAAATCTCTAGATGACGAGAATATCTTATCATAAGGGCCCGTTTAGTTCGCTGATTCGAGTTTTTAATTCGAATTAAGATATGATTTTATGTGAGAGCTTTTTACTGTAGCAAAAAAGTTAGATGTGATTGTTTGTGAGAGCTTTTTACTGTAGCAAAACTCGAATTCTGAACTCGAATCAGCGAAATGAACGGCCCTTAAAAACTTCCAAATTTTGAATAGAAGGAAAAAAAATAAAGAATAAATAAGTAATCATACCAAAAATTATAGTTGTTCACTTTTAAAATCAATAAAGATGTTTTCATTACGAACTTAAATAAGTGTAATAGTTTCTTGAGTTACAATATGCTTGTGCGTGATTAGTTCATATTTTTTACATTTACTACCAACTTTTCATTTAAAGGTAAACCATTTTAAATTCATTATGTTCTTACTTTCTGCATTTATTATAATTATTGTTCATCGCAAGAGGTTAATCGTTGTGAATAAAGTGATATGTTTATCTTATTTGGCGATTTTCACCATCAACACATATCAATATCAATTATTTCTTAGATTTTCTTTTTCATTTTTATACCCTACATTTTAATGTTATTAAAAAAAGCATAACTTGTATTTTTAACCGTACTTAACTACTTATACCATTACATTTTAAATTCATGTTAAGTCCTTATCTTTTTTGGGATCAAAATTTGACTTTTCTATGAAATTGACCTAAATGTCTTTCACATTTTTACATTTTTATTTTTCTTAATTTTCTTTCCTTATTCTTTGTTTTTATAAGGGTGTTACGGTATTTTTTGGGTCAAAATTTACCATTGACTGAGAGAAAAGGTGTGAATTGACCATAAATTTAAAATTAAAGACATAAATGTGATACACTTATAAGTATGATCTTTATTTATTTTTTTGTGAGGTACAAGGTACGAATGATCTTTGGGTAATCTGAAAATGCCGAGTACAAATTTTTTTTTAAATAAAACTATATATTAACATTAATACTCGATGAATACAATATGGATGATAATCACACATGGCCTCTATATTCTCGTGCTTGTCAAGTAAAATAAGCGACATGTCGTCTACTACGAAGGACCGAGTTGTCGTTTGGTTAGGCTGTTTTCATTTTTCTTTTCTGAAAAAACAAAACCAAAAAGAAAAAAAGAAAAAACGTGTGACTTTACGATTTTATATTATAAAGATTTTCCCGAAAAATAAGGGAAGAAAAATAAATAAAAGAAAAGAAAAAGACATGAGAGTCTTGCAATAAAGCGCGTTGGAAAAAATAAAGAAAGAAGTAAATTTTGCCCAAACAATGTTTTTACTTTTCTCAACTAAAAAACGCGTCTTAGGAAACACGGCCATCAATCATCACCCAACCGTCAAAATTCCCGCTGAGAGTAAAGTATAAAAATAAATAATAAATACATAAATGAAACAAGACTAAAAACGACCCATTTCTTCTATTTCTCCGCATACAAAAATCCACAGATCTGTCTCTCATACTTGGAAGGCTAAAGACCCAATTGCTTTCTCTTTCTCTAACGTCCATTTCGGGCATTGCCGTTCGTTTTTGTGGATAATACATCGGAAATATGTCTGTAAGTTTTTTCTTCTTTCATTGATGTTTGGATTAGATCTTTTTGGTTTTAGTTGAAACCCATATCTCTGATTGATTGGCTTTTCTTTGGGTATATTTATAGTAGTTTTATGGGCAATGTGCTTCTTTTATCCCGTTTGGTTCCCGAGAAAATGTGGGGAAGGAATAATACCATAATGTCATTAACCGGAAACAATAATAGATAAAAGTAATCACTTTTTATGGAGAATTTTGAACATGAAAATTTGCCAATATGTCCTTAATTGACAATGCCAATGGATTGAAACAAACTCTGGAGTAGAATTGAAGTTTTTGAAAATCTTATATGAGACTTTCTTTAGAAGCCCTTTATTGGAAAATGGAAATGGGTGTCATTACATGAACCTAAACGGTGTCTGTTTTTCTGTGACCCACCAATCAAATTTCATTACCTTTTCAGAAGGGTAACATGTGGGTGATACAGATGAAATTCTAGTGGGGATTAGAGTACTGACACAGAGTGGTTCCTTCAGGCATATCAGAGCACCCTGTCTTTTATTTTTATTTTTATATTATTAATTAGGAGTTACTCTTTGACAGAATGTGTTTATAAACGTTAGATTTGATCATAGTCACGTTAAAACAAAAAATAAAAATAAAAATAAGCAAAACTAAACTTGATAAGATATGATAGTTAAAAGAGAAATGCTAACTTCACTCTTTCTGTCACACTTTCTGCATTCATATTTAACACGTGAATCTCTAGTCTCTAGTTAAAAAGCAGAACTTACCAATACGATAAGATATATCCTACTGTAACAATCACATTGGTAGTATTTTTAATTCTCTCTTTAGGTCTTATGAATCATTGGCACATCTCTACTTTTTGTTTTTCATCATATACTTGCCAAAGTTGTTGGAGCTTTCTTTACTACCATATCTAACATGAATAAAGTACTTTTCTGCTGTTATCAGCGTGAGCGCACATTTGATATTAGTATCTCTTCTTAGGCGACATTTGGTTTATTTATGATTACATACCTATTAATTCGGTATGTCAGACACTGATTTATTAGATTACTGCCGGTTTTTTTTTTTTTTTCCATTATTTTCTTTTGTTCTTTTTTGATCCATCAGCTTAATTTTTGTTGTTTTACGTTCTTACCATGAAAAGAACCTCATTGGAAATTCCATGTGCAGGCTCTGGTAGACCATAGAGATCAAGGGAATGGAGCAGTTCTGCAGTCAATTGCCACACCAATCTGGTCAATCAATGTTTCGGATGTGAGGAGAATCCTTTTTTATTAATAGGCATTGCTTGTTATCATTAACTATAGAGTTTCATCCACGACAATTGCAGTAATAAGCGAAATTTTTTAGGCATTCCCACGTATAAAACTCCCATTTCTTTTTGTATGCAATGCCACTTCTTAAACTAAGAGAATAAAAGCAGGACTTGTAGAAATTCTTAGGTTGATGGATTTCTATATTTCATGTAAGGTCTCTTTGAGAACGGAGGCTATGAAATTTTTAAAACAAAAGAAATTTCTATTTACTTCTTTCCATTAGATTTGCTTGGTAGGAATTCATTCGAGCTTCAAAGTCATGGTTGGCCTTAAAATTTTGATTTGACTCCAATATTTGCGATTTCAGTTTGTGCATAGTAGATAGATTTCTTTTCTTTAAAGCGAATTCTATATAGCTTAAAAATGCATTGGTTCTTGCTTCCTTTTGGACGAAATAGAAATTTTTACAACATTACTCTTTGCAGATAAGGACAGTGAGGGTTAACAACATTTCCCTAGCTGTTTCCGAGAGGGATATCAAAGAATTCTTTTCGTTCTCTGGTGATATTCAATATGTTGAAATGCGAAGGTGAGCATTTTCTTTTAACTGTATGGCTCCCATGTTATTTAAAAAAACTCATCTAAAGAAATTGGAGTTACATTTTGCAGGGAATCTGAAAGTACCCAACTTGCTTATGTTACCTTCAAGGATTCACAGGGGGCAGATACAGCAATTCTTTTGTCGGTAAGCTTATTTACCGTAAAAGAAGTGGAGATTTCCAAAATGAAATGTAAATGTTTCAGAAGGAAAATATGTGGACGAAGGTGTCAGGGTATATCAGTAACAAGCTTTAGTGTTCCCTATTATAGAATTAAGCATTTAAGATTAAATATTTGAGATAAACTTGACTGAGATGTGCTAGCCGATGGTTAAGATGAGTTTGATATGTAAACCGATTCCTATCTTGCATGCTTACTTAGATATTAGTCCAGTGATCTACTAAGCTAATCCTTATGTTTTTAGGTGTGGCATATAAGGCACAATCATGGAAAAGGCATGATGGGATGTGTTATACTTTGTTTAAACTTTGTGAAGCTTTATGGTTGAACTATTTTTTTTGGCTATCAAGAGTTGTAATTTTTTGTTTCAGGGAGCTGTAATAGGTAATCTTTCTGTTAGCATTACACCTGTCGATGATTACTTGCTTCCGCCCGAAGCTCTTCCATCAACCCTGGTAAGTTCTATAGCTGGTACACAATTCTAATTAGTGTATCATCAAATATGGCCGTTAAATCCTACAGGCAAGCTTCATAAGAAAAAAAAAATGTGGTTGTCGTTGGCCAGTAACTTAAAGCATCATTATATATACTTTCTTGTAATTGGTCCTAGATAGATAGCAACTTCTATTAAACATATTTGTATTCTTTTGTTATTGTCCTTTGAAGGAGAAAAACCCAACTACCAGCCCTGCAGTTAAGAAGGCTGAGGATGTTGTTAGCAGCATGCTTGCCAAGGGTTTTATTTTGGGCAAGGATGCGATCAACAAGGCAAAATCATTTGATGAAAGGCATCACTTGATGTCAAACGCATCTGCCACTGTAGCCTCAATTGACAATAAGATTGGCCTCAGTGAAAAGCTAAGCATCGGAAAGGCAGTGGTGAACGAGAAGGTTAGAGAGATGGATGAGCGGTACCAGGTATCCGAGATGACGAAATCTGCTTTGGCAGTTGCTGAGCAGAAGGCAAGCAGTGCAGGGTCTGCTCTCATGAGCAATCACTATGTATTAACTGGAGCTTCCTGGGTTTCAAGTGCATTTAGTGCATTTGCAAAGGCAGCTGAAGATGTCAGCATAATGACCAAGGAAAAGCTTGAGAAGGCTGAGGAGGAAAAGGAGGAGATTATTTACAGGGAAAGGACAGGGATAATCAGTGACTTTGCGCAGATCCATCTCGACGAGTCTTCATCAAAGGGGCCTCCAATTGTTCCGGTCAGTTCAGCTGATGACCACAAGCTTGAAATTATTTGAGAGATGAATTGTCACTCAATGATGAATTCCTTTTTGCATTTTTTCGAAGTGGTAGGCCGTGCCAACTTTTGTGTGGTGGGTGCTGTGTTGAATATAGATTGGCGTCAGATTTTTTTATTCAATGTTTTTCTATTTATTTGGAGTCCTCTTGTCTGGCTATGACAAGGTTACCAGATGAATTCATGTAACATATATGATAAGAGTCGATCAGAGAATTCTTTATGGTGTACAACGGGTTTTTTTTTTTTTTTTTTCCGGTTCTTGCATAGAATTCTATTGATTTTTTTGAAGTCAGTACGATAAACTTGTGTCATTCTTGTCATCATATTATGTTTTAGAATAATGCCTCTTGTTTGTAAATTGTATTCATAGCAGAACGTGTTTTCTACCTTTTTGTAGTCGTTGACTCATTATCAAATTACTAATTCTGAAATAACCAGCTAAAGTCGTGTCACTTTTATACAGAACTATTAAGTATTTCTTTTTCTTTTTCTTTTTTTTTTTAAAAAGGGTTTGATACTGACAATATAACGAATTATCACGTCGAAAACACCTATATTCGGACAGAGTGTCCAAAATTTTATCTGTAGATTGAGCTGAAAAATATAAACCCTAGTTACACTGTTTGAGATCTCTTGTCTGGTTGACTTTTCTTTCCTTATTTATTTCTTAGGGTTTTTTAAACAACGAAGAATTTTGTTGGCACCTCTAAATTATCTCAAAAGAACAGAGACCGTGTTGACTGCATTATGTAATTCTTGCATTTATTACTACAAAATCGTTGGGATTTATGTGGCTGCAGATCAACACACAGAAAATGAAGAGTAAATTTGTTGCTTTTAGACTGACATAATAGGCCATATGAATTTTAATAGTTGGCGTGGCATGCCGGAATTAAACATTTCCAAGCATCACTACAATTCATCTGACAACATCTGAAAAGCTATAATCATCCATATGCTAATGTCTAAGGCATCTGCTCTAAACAGTAAGGAGTATCTAAGAACAAAATAATTCATTTGCATAAGCCTCCGATTGTTGCATGGTACCGCAATTTTATCAACAGCGGTTGATTCAATCCAAAATATTGGTAGGCTATGAAAACTAAGAAGCAACGAAAATCTTCTCAAAGCTTTCAAGATGTATGCATATTATAGTTACATTGAGAAAAAAGAAAAAAAGTTCGCGTATCTATTACCTATTATTGTTTGTTGATGATGATCAAGTATTGTAGAAATGTCACTTTATCACCTTTCATCCATGTCTTCTATTGAAAGAGCCGACGAACAGTTGGTAATTGATGTTTTGTTACTTTTCCTGCTAGCTCGTACAAACTATCACACATACTTTAACAACCACTCGAGGCTCTGTTAAAATTTAACACAACATCAGGGACCTCAAAATCTACAATCTTAATTAAGATAATAATAAGATGAACGATCGTAATGATAGGAAGTTGTTATTTGTTATTGTCTAATGTTCATACCTCTATGCATTCGTGTAAGTCATCACCTTTAGTTCTGATGTGAGTCTGCAAAATCGCAAGATTCAAGTAAGAACCAAGAATAAATTTTCTATGAGGTCACTAATGAGAATACCAACTTAGAAAAGGAAGTACAATCCTTCAGAATCAAGCCATTTGTACATGAACGGAAATGTTTTAAAGTCACAAAAACAAGAAATCAGAAGTGATCATCATTTAATTAAATTTGAATTTCTAAATATGACTTATGCGGCCAAAAAAATGACTAAAAGAGAGAAGACATTATCAGAAATCCTATATGGACTAATATCATGCGATGAAATTCGCAATGGCAACACAGAACTATTCCCATCTGATCGATTGGGCACTTTGAAGACAATTGGTTCACACATTATTTTAATGTCATAGAAGAAACTCTATGAATTACCTCTATGACATTTTGTATGGAAGATTCGTCACTGCTTTCTAAAGAAGCGAGGATTACTACCGCAGCCGCCACTGTTGAGGGCATGTAGTACATCTGCACTTGGTCCGATAGCAGCAGCACTGCCAAGTATTTCGCCCTCTTCTCCACTTCTTCTTCAGCTTTAGCAGCTTTTAGGTAGAACCTATTGCAGTTTCCAAATACCCTTTACTAAGTACTAGTACTATTTACATTAAAACAACTCGAGATGACGTGAAATTCTCAACTTGGAAAAAAAAAAGGAAAAAAAGTTTATACATAGAAGAAATATTGACAGATATGACGTTTGTCCGAAGAATACGAGGGGAAAAGCGAAGTGAAGTAGGATAGCGTAGTACCATAAGAAATTAGAGATGGTAGGCAGGAAACACTGGAAGTTGAGGACCTCCTGAACAAGCCATTCCATGGCAACCACTTCGCATCTGCTGTACGTATTGTTTCCAACAATGAAATTCTTTCTCTGAACGCTGAAATGTTAAATATTAAAGAGATATATAGTCAGCGGATCTCCCATCAGTTTCGACAAACTCACCAGCTTCGAGTAGTTGTGGGAGCAGCAATATCTTATTGGAAAGAAAACGGAAAAAAAAGTAGCTGATTTAATATTATTCATGGTTGATCAAATTTCTAAACATAACAATAGAGAAACGTCAAATTGACCATCTGTTTGCTCAAACCGGGTTTTTTTTCATCATTATTTTTTAAGGACAGAAGTAACCACTTTTTTCAACGTCATATATATGATTCCTAATGCATGCATAATATGACAGTTGAACTTAGTGTTAAGAGTTTAAGGGCTTGTTTTTTTGAGTGAAAAACTCAAAAAAATGCAACTCGAGTTACTACTTTATTCGAGTTCATGTTCTTTTAAATTTAAACTGAAGGGCTTGTTTTTTGAGTGAAAAACTCAAAAAAATACAACTCGAGTTACTACTTTATTCGAGTTCATGTTCTTTTAAATTTAAACTTGAGTTTAAATTCGAGTTCAAACTCGAGTTTAGGATTAAAATTCGAGTTCTCGTTCACTTCGCTGATTCGAGTTTAGAATTCGAGTTGAGATGTGATTTTATATGAGAGTTTTTTACTGTAGTAAAAAAGTTAGATGTGATTGTTTGTGAGAGCTTTTTACTGTAGAAAAACTCGAATTCTAAATTCGAATCAGCGAAGTGAACGGGGCCCCCTTCAACTCGAGTTCAGAAACTCGAACTCAAATTAATGAACCATATTTTTTATATTCTTAAAAATGCTATAACTTTTTCGTTTTAATTCTGATTGAGATGATTTTTTTTTCTATGCGTTGACAACGAAAAGACGAATAAAACCCGACCCATATACCCTATTAAAATTTTTCATCAGCATTGAGTTTTTATTAAAATACTATCTAAATACAAATTCAAGTTTTGACTCACTCAAACACAAACTAAAAAAGATTCTAATCTCAAACCATAACTCAAATGTACACAACCAAACAAGTTCAACTCAAGTTATAACTCAAATTCGACTCAAGAATTATACTCAAGTTAAACTTCAAAAGAACAAGCCCTAAAACTCTAATGGGTAATATTATTTATTTCAAACATGTTAATATTATTTTTTTTCTTCTCCAAGAATTGTGCAATAAAAGTAAGACAAAACATCGATATAAAAAAAAAAAAACAAAAACAAAAACAAAAAATAAAACAGAAAAAAGGACAAATTGACAATAATCAGACAAATAAGGTTATATGCCATACTTGTTTCATCAATGAGTAATTTTTGTCTACTTTTATGGTTACGTTAACAAAGCAGGATCATTAACATTTTTATGAAATTAGGGGAGACATATTTTAAATAACCGTACAGGAGATAGTTCCTTTGAAGATCAACTTTTATAATTTTCTCTTTTCTTCTCCTTCTCAATGATCAAATATATAGTCCAAGTCTAAGGATGATAACAAAAAGCATATAAAGAAAGATAGAAGAAATACCTGTTATAGGGCTGATTTTCTTCTATTCTGGTGGCCAATGCAATACAAGCTATACCGACTATTTGAAGGACCCTTTCGCTTTTGAAGAACCCTTTGCTTAGGAATCGATCAAGGAGGCTAACTCCTAGGAACATTGTCTCCTGATGGAGATTTGTTTCCTTGCAGTGCTAGTTTGTTTAGAGCATGCAAATTAACGAATTAGCAATGAACTAATATATAGAGCGTACAATCAATATGAATAAATAGTTTTGGGCAATAAAAAATAATATATTGCATTTTTCGTATAAATTATTTTTTTCCCTATATATAAGTGAAATATGAACTAAAGTACTAAAAAGGAGGGAAAAAAGAATCGTTAGAGAACTTAATATTATATGACACACACACACACACACACACACACACACATATATATATATATATATATATAACATACCTAGTGACATGAAAGAAATGAATTATGGACATAACCACAAATTTCTCACAAGGAAATAATGATTGTTGATTATATATATATATATATATAATGAATATTACTATTACGTAAATTGGGTTCGGTTACATGCACGTTAAGTACGTACGCTGGTACGCAAATCTTCCATTTTTCTGCTTATTGTACCAAAACAAATACATGTTACATCCCACTAGTCCCTAGCAGTAATGTGTATTGTACTAGGTGGTCACAAATGATTACTTTGGGTTATTGCATGGTCTAATTTTTCATGATGGCATCATTTCGTTAAAGCGCGTTATCGAAAAAACTTTAAACATCGTCTATAATATGTACCTAATGGCACTATATAAATATATTTTTCATTATTTCCTTCAGAATATTTTTTTATTATTAATATTTTCTCCTTGAAGATTGATTTCTTTGATTTGGTTGCTTGTATACCTGCCGTTAATGTCCAAACGAAATCGTCGTTTTACGGTTGGAAAGGAAAGGATCTCTCACTCCTCCCGACACGAGAGGTACTCGTGAGCCACTACCTACTTGTATAACAAATTTTAACACAAGGCTCAAAATATATGCTTTAGCTCTAGGACAATTCTCTTCGACTTCAAGCATGACGGAATCAGTTTCGAGTGTGTTAGACATTGTCCATGCAAAGTCATATCATACTACGTGGCGTTAGCTTGTTGGACACCAAATCCTGTCGAGAAACATCAATATAGCAGATCTTTTCCCCTCTAACTAAATCTACTTCCCCCAAACGTGCTCTCAAATCTGTCTTATGAGTTTATTAGAGCACTGAAAGAATCAAATCGCCGCAACGGAACGATCTCTCCGGTTATTCTATCATTACGGGGCAATAAATTGCTTGTAACGAAGATTCGAAACGATAATTTGTTAAATTGTTGTAATGAAGATTGAAACGAACGATTGAGATTAACTAACCTGTACGATCCAATGGACCATATGCAACCGCTGCTGGAGGTTGAGATCGCCGTAATCCGTCGTGGTTGAGTAGTCCTCGACGTAGTCACGCAAAACCACAACTCTCTTCTCTCTGTTCCTCAGCATCTGATAGCTCTCCTCATCAGCCTCTTCTTCAAATCTCACAAACTTTGAGAAAATGAAATCAACAAACGAAAATAGGAAAAGCGTTCAAGAAAATGCAAGAATATTAAAGAAGGAACAACAGATTAAATACGCTTAAATACGCTTATGTATAATTTTAAAAATTAAATAGGAAAAACTTACTCTGGACTGATCTATGTACTCTTCTTCAACACTTGAGACATTTTCTGTTTCCTGAGGAGATGTTGATCGCCAGAATTCGTTTCTGTATTGAAGGAGCAAGGTGTAAGTAGGCGAAGAAGTTAAGTCTCCTTCTGATCGCTCGGAGAAGTCGCTTCGTGAATCTAGGAAAAGTGACGGAGTGTAATCGGAGAAATCGAGGTCCGAATTTTTCAGGAAATTCTCCCGTTGGAGCTCGGAAAACGCCGTTCCGTGGTTAGACGAATAGTCGGAGTGCGAGTCGTAGGAGAAATTCTCCGTACAAGCAAGGTCGGAGTCGATTCCGTTGCTGAATTCCGGCCTCTGTTCTATCGTCGATTCCGAGTTCGAAATCATAGACACTTCCTTATCCAGTAAATTTCTCGAAACTTCACAAAACTCCAATTCTTTTGCTCTGCTTTCCACATCTTTGTTAACCTTCGTCTTCTCTGCTACTTTCGCTTCCAAGCAAGATTCCGCCGCGGAAATGCACGAAATCACCTCATTTTCCTTGGAATCTGATAAATTGTTAACGTTTCCAGAAACAGAAATTTGTTGAAGGCAGGAAATCTCCGATGCCGTAACTTCTTTAGAATCCTCCTTTCTTTCAATTTCCTTCGAAATTTCACTTACTTTTCTTCTCTTATTCTTCAACTTCGAGCTTCTTTCTCCGGATACTCCATGGCCAGCACCAGTACCATTGGACTCCACGCACGAAGTTTCAGAAACCTCTACTTCAACCTCCTTCCTCTCAGCTTCACCGAACTTCCGCTTCCTCAAAACCGCCTTACTCGGCTTCCTCTCCAATCCGACCGAAATTCGGCTCGATTCGCACGAAACTTCGTCTCCGAAGTACGAGCACGAGCTCGAATCCACAGAGAAGCCCGAGAAACCAGAATTCTTAACACCTGCATCGAAATTAGTCCGAAGAAACAGTAAAATCGGAGAAATTCGAGTTCGTCTCCGGCGAGGGAGCTCCGACCGAAGCTTCTTCTTGGCGACGGACGGCATCGATCGGAGCTCTTGCTTCGCTCGGCTCGATCTTTTCTTCATTGGCGATATGAAAGTTCTTCGAAATCGGAGATTCGGAATTCTCGAGTGTTGAGAGGACTCGGTGGTTTGGGAGTTTTGGAATCAGTTTTAGAGAAATGGAACAGGGAGAGAGAGGGAGGCGGGTCCGAGTTCGTGTAAGCGGTTATGGAAGTTTGGGGGGTCCCACTTCAGCGTTTCTTTTCTTTTTCTTTCCCCACGTCCGTACACGGAATGATTGGGCTGGACTTGGGTTTTCTCCATTGCCTGTGTTTGGGCTGTAATACGCTCGGCCCGTGAAGAGTCATCTCCATCGATAGATCTGCTGCTCTACTTTTTTCTTTTTTCTTTTAGTTTTTGCTTAATAATTGCTTTGCGTTTAAAAAAAAAAATTTGTTCTACGTATTGGGTAACTAATGAAAATTGTGAGAATATTTTTAATTATTCTTGAGATAAATATATGTGTGTGTGTGTGTGAATGTGTGTGTGTTAGTGGAATAAGATAATAGTAATATTGGAACTTGGAAGCTTTTCAATCTAACCTAAAAAACTAGATGACAGTTTTTCTTTAGCGATATTTTATTTATCTTTTCTTTTATTTTTATATTTTAACCCAACTTGAAAACCACCAAACCGCCCGTTGTGCAGCTCTATGTCGTTCCAATACCATAAACCTACTAACTCAATAATCTAGAATCATAAATTAGAATCATGAGATTATAATTATTTTTTATTTATGTGTGTTTTTTGTGAGAGAAAATACTGTAGCGAACTATGAACCACCAATAATCTAGAATTATGAATTAGAATCATGAGATTATAATTATTTTTGATTTATGTGTGTTTTTTGTGAGAGAAAATACTGTAGCGAACTATGAACCATTATTCGAATCAGAGAATGAATCCTCCAACAAAACGAGCTCTCGTGAAATAGCGCGACTGTGTTTGAATTCTAGCATAAAAAATGTCGTTATTTTTGAAACACAGTGGCTAGCTTACTTGTGAAGCATAAAGTAAGGGTGCGTTTGGTAGATAGATCTAAAATTATAATTCTAGATCTTGGTTCAAATTAATATTTGTTTACAGTAATTCAGAATCATGATTCTGAATCATAATTCAGAATCAGTGTTTGGTTTAGATGATTCAGAAGCTGATGCGATGTTTTAAAGTAGCTTAAATTATGATTTTAAAACCACTCCCCTCTTGATTCAATGTGATTCAAACCCTTGATTCTGAATCATGGTTTTAGAATCATGATTTGAATCTAAAATCATAAATTATGATTATGATTATGATTTTAAAATTATAATTAGAATCACTCTAATTTAAATTTTTGTACTAAACGAATCCTAAACATAGTTAATACTAAGCCCCCTGCCTATTTTGTATGAAGATAGAATGGTGTGAAGGGCAAGCAAGCATGGGAAGTACTCATGAATAGTGCATATATCCTCTCTTATTGTCATCGGTTTGAACTACTTTGGAAAGGGTGGACAAGCCTATGGGCAGAGTTGTCCACGTTATTGGAATGGGTGATAACTAATGTACACTATGCAATGGACATGAAGAATCAACTCTCCACTTGTTTGCAGCTGTGTGATTTGCAAGAATGGTGTGCTGGGTTTATTGGCTTTTGAATCCTCTAGCTCATATCAAAGACTAATGGCATGTTTACCTACGCATAATTAAAATGGTCATGAATTAGAGTGGGCAAGATTTGAAGTAAGTAGGATTCAAAGTGAGAAATTGAAGTCAGAATAAATTATTTACTTGATGATAAGATTCAGAATTAGAGCCACTCAAAATCCCATTCATGAGTTTGCTTACACCAAGAATCAGAAATAACTAGTGTAAAAGTGCTAATATACCCTTTAAATCAATTTTATATTTTTAATTTAAAACTAAATTGTGTAATTATTATATTAAAATTAATCATAATTAAAATATTTAGTATAATAATAGGGTAATATAATAATAACTATAAATTGTACAGTTATTTAAAATGTAAAAATAAATTGTCAAAATTTAAAAGAAAATAAATATAAATAAAAAATACAGTTAAAAATTAAAATATATTATTAATTTATTAAACAAAATAAAGTATATATTTATTATATTAAAGTTAACAATAGTTAGGCTAATAATATAATATTAGGCAAATAAAATAATAAATATATGTTGTAATTATTATTTTTTGAATTTTTTTTAAAATTTTATATTTATAAGTAAAATAGGAGTATGATTGCAATTTAATGTTAATATCAATAATGGGAGTCTCAATCCTAAGGGGGCCATGAGAGTGCCAATCTCATTCCTTAGTCTCAAATTTGCGTGGGCCTATTAATTCCAAGATAAAAAAGAGCAAGTTGTTGGGCCGATTCCCCTCGATTAGTCATGTTAGGACACGTGTCACCTTATTCTACAAAGACGTATCATCGAGGCTCGAGAGGGGCATGATGCGACTTATTGCTCAAGGTAGGTAGTCGACGCATCCGGGGTGGATGCGACTATACATCAGAGATGGCGTGGCTTACATCTTGAAGAAACCATAACCGAATGCTCGAGACACACCTTCACCATATGGTCGACGCATCCTGACACATTACTCTATCCATTAGACCTCGAGGTCGAAGTACGAATAAGTACGGACGAAGGACATTGCTAGAGTGTCACGCGCATACAAATTGTCTGATGTACGAAAGTCCAAGTTTGACGCTTTGGCACATGCAACAGAATGTTGGGAGACTGTCACTCGATGCCAAAAGTACGACCTGGCACTTCTGAGGTACAGTCCCAAAGGATCCCCACGATGGGTCTAGGGTTTCACACCCCGGACAGCTATAAATATTAACTTTGATCCCTTCATAAGGCATTTTGCATTCCACTATCACACCTCTCAAATATCTTGACAACACAAGACAACATCAGAACCCCTCTCTCAAGCAGGTGTCCGCGTACGTCATGATGGAGTGAAGAGGCTGACGATGGAAGTGACAAGGTACGAATTGGTGTTAGGACTAACGCTCCAACACAAGTAAACATGGGATTGACCCCCATTTTCTACTCCTATTCCTTAATCCTGATAAGCAAACATGTCATAAAGGTATTTATTCTAATGAATGTCTATTGGTGATCTTATTTGTAAGAGAAAATATCACCTTTTCTATAACTTTTTTTGTCACTTTCTGTATTTACTGTTTGACACGTGAACTTTATCATCTCATTTTCTATTTAAATAATAATGTATCAAGTTAATAGAATCTACGTGGTAAACACATATTAGGCACTAGGCACTAACCCAACAAGTCACAATTTCCACTAAGAGCACGGAACTAACAAAACTCACAAGTAAACGATGAATGCTAAATACAAATGTTTGTTCATACTCTTGTTCATATGTTAATCTCATTATTTGCCACTTATCACCCTAATTTACTCAAACAAACTTACTAAACATAAAGTCATTCTTTTATACCTTATTTACAAACTTGCCACTCGTTTTTTATTGTGAAACCCAACCGATATATCTTATTAAAAAAAAAAAAAAAAAAAAAAAAAAAAAACAAAAAAAAAAAAAAAAAAAACACCGGACGGATTGTGTGATTTCATAACAACCCTAATGAAAAAAAAAAAAACCAACGACATATAAGATAAAAGCACCGGATTGTGTGATTTCATAACAACCCTAATGAGGAGTAATATCCCCTCTCTCATCAAAATTCTTATTACGAAAGGTATTATGTTCGTTTGAAATTCACCCTTAGCCATGTCAAAATCCTCTTACGAGAGTCATACAAGATTTTTTTTATTGCCGCTTTAATCGGTAGTGTTGACGCTGAAAAACTCAAGGTAATTCGTTATTATTCCTTTTTTTAAAACTTGCGCTATGAAGAAGAAATTTCTAACTAAGATGCACTCTAGGACTTGATTCTTAATTATTAATAGGAAGTAAATAGACAAATATGAAAAAGAAAAATAAACCATAAACTCTCAAACTAATTTATCTCCACTGTAATCGAAATGAGTATTTCTCCTTCTTTCAGTTGGGCGTGGGTAATGGTTTCTGATAGTCAATAGATCAAAGAGAATGGCATTTTCGATATTTAAGTTTATAAGTTGGACTTTGTTTTAACTAGAATAACAAATGTCTCATTCATTTCATCAATTTGAGTTTTTAATTTTAATTTTACTACAATTAAAAATTCTCACAAAAAATCACATTTAATTTTTTGTACTAAAAAACTCTCACATAAAATTACATCTCAACTCGAATTTGTGAATTGAACGGAACTAAAATCTTTTAAATTAAAAAAAAAAGAAACGTGACAACTTGTGGAGCAATGTTTGAGAATTAGTCTGATTGAGCGTGTCCCCTTAACACGACTCTAAGTAAATTTAAAAGTAAGAAAATCCTATAATAAAAAAAATTAAACTTAAATTTTTATAAAAAAAATACTATAGCAAAAAATTAAATTTGTGATTCGAATTGTGAAATTAGGTCTTGTTCACTTTGCGGATTCGAGTTTTTAATTTGAATTGAGATTTGAGATTTTTTAAGAACTTTTAACTGTAGTATAAAATATTAGATGTGATATTTTTTAAAAATTTTTAACCGTAAAAATTTAAAATTAAAAATTTAAATCGGTGAAATGAACGGTCTGAGGTGAAGAGAAAGCTCATCGAGTGGTTTTTTCCTTTTTTTTTTTTTTTTAACTGAGAATTTCAAATAAGGAAGTCTTTTTATTAGATAACTGAAGGAAAATAAATGTCGAGTTTTCAATTTGAATTGAGATTTGAGATTTTTTAAGAACTTTTAACTGTAATATAAAATATTAGATGTGATATTTTTTAAAAATTTTAACTGTAAAAATTTAAAATTAAAAATTTAAATCGGTGAAATGAACGGTCTGAGGTGAAGAGAAAGCTCATCGAGTGGTTTTTTCCTTTTTTTTTTTTTTTTAACTGAGAATTTCAAATAAGGAAGTCTTTTTATTAGATAACTGAAGGAAAATAAATGAAAAAGAAAATAAATTTTATAAGGGTGCTGCTATTAGTTAGAACGTGTTTCATTCGAAGGTTACTGACAGATTGTAATAACGTTCTTCTCTGACTCCATGTTTCAACAAACAAAAATTTGGGGAAAATTAGGGCTTCCGATTTGAATTACATTTCGTGTTCAATCACTCTCGGTTAGTATCGCAAATCCAATCGAATTATCTAAAGCTGCGATTTTTTTTTCCTGAATCGCTTTGATTTTCAATTCAATTCCGTATTTTGTTCTGAATTTGCGATGTTTCGGTGTTTAGGTTAATCAATTTGAGCAATCCATGGGCTTATCATCTGCTGCTACGACAATGGCGGAGGGTTTACAGCTTTGCGTATTCGATTTGAGGAGGGGACAGCAAGAAGGGCAAGAGCTGGACAAGATATTGTTCTTCTTTCCGGCTGATTTGCCATTTTCGACGCAGCTTTCTGTGATTGGCCTCAGCGAAGGACTCATCACGTTTACGAGGTCTGTAGAGCCCTTAAAATAGTCGAATTCTTTCTTTAGGAGATTTGATTTTCCCAATTTTAGTTTTGTAGGATGTGTAAATGTAGGTTGATGATAGCTTGAAAGAATCAGAATAAGGAAAAAGGGGAAAAAAAGGGGAACAAAAGGAATATTTGCTGATGTTTTAGCTATTGTGACTATTCAGGGAAAAGATTTTATTTTTCTTAAATGTTAGTGGGTGTTACTTTGTATGAATGATGCTGTCTAATTTATTAATAATTACCACTTGATTTTCTAAGTGGCTGCTTGTCTATGTCTTCTAGTCTTGGCGGTTTAAAAGAATAATATAAATACTATGCAGAATTTTCTCTCCAGAGGCTGCTTGTGAGGTAATAGAAGCAGAGAGGCACTCCCATGTTTTTTACGAGGCAGAGCCCGACATTTGGATGGTGATGGTACGTTATCCGTTGACGACTAGTGATTTTAGACTTTTAGTGGCTAACTTTCTTAGTTTTTCATATACGTGATGGTAATAGTTTGTATTTGTGTGTATACTTTCGTAGAATGCAAAATTCTCATTGATGGATTCATTATTGTGTAGCATTGCCCATTTCTGTGAAGTTTCAACATTAGTAATTCCAATAAAAAGGATAGCTTGATCCATTCTAACTTGTTTGTAACTTTGTATTACAATGTATATTGCATCTTCTATTGGAGTTCATACCAACTAGTAACTACGTAGTAGTTGTTTAATGCTGATTTACCCCGTAAGCAATTCTAATTATCAATCAACATTGTGGTAGGTGGTGGAGAAAAGTAAAGAGTCAGAAGCTATTTGGAGGGTTGATGCATTAAGAAAGGTTCTCATGGAAGTCCATTCACTTTTTACAATGTTTAATGGATCTATAAGAGCATTGCTCGAGAAAGAGCCGGGTGGGGAGCTAGTGCGATCTCATTTGTACCCTTTCGTAATGGATTATCTATGTGGTAAGTCATTTTGTAACGGTTTGCCTACTGAATCGCTGATTCCAGTTTTCTATTGTCCTTGGTTCAAAATATTTCATTGTAAAGTCACTAATTGCCAGCATATCAAAAGCGGTCTCCATTGGATGGGTGCTGCTGGGGTAATTCTGATGTTGAAGTTTCAGTTGCTCTCCATTGGATTTTTGCTACCTAAGTAATGCTGAAGTTGCTGTATCTCATTCCTTATTCATAGTTTTCCTCTCTGAGGCAGATTTTCTTGCTGGGAAGAAACTTCTATTGCCATCATTCCGTGACTGTTTAAAAGAGCGGGGAACTGTACAGATGCTGACTGTGGGGCGGGAGGCTGCAATTGAAGTTCAGGTTGTTGAATAAAAATGTTCATTAATCAAATGTTTGTGGAATACCTAAGCTGCTTCTCTCTCTCTGAGATAATATGTTGAAATTTTCAAGAGTATGTGGAGCTAGATCGAAATTCTAATAGTCCAACTACCCTTTAGTTAATTGGCCGCTTGCAATGTCTCACTGTTACCAAGTTAATTTGATCATAAAATTTCACGGTCTTACACTAAGTCTAATAAATCAAAAATTGGGCGTGATTGTGTTTTCTTTGTAGTTGTTTTATTTGCTGTTTTAGGTGATAGTAGAGTGCAATTTAGTACTTACTGCTGTGTATGTGTGAGCATTTAAGTGCTGTCCACTTTCAACCAACTCTTCAAATGGTTTTGAAGTGTATGGACTTTGGATTTTTATAGTATTGTCTGACAATAGGGGTACTATTAAATTAATTAAGCTCTGCTTGCATATCTTTAGCTAAAAAAGGGCTCTATTCCCATATAAAGTTTTGTGAGTCGCTTAAACTTATGTAATATCTCAGTTTTCTGTTATTGAGTATATGATCAAGTTGGCTTTGTAACTGTATCTTTTCTAAAGTTGTAGGATTATAGGATTCTATGATTGCATGAGCTTACATTTGTGGCAACATTCTTCTTAATTCCTAGTCCGTAAGAATGATAAGCAAGATATGAAAGAAATTATGTGATTCTTGATATGCCTATTCATAAAGAATTTATTGACCTGTAATTTATTTATATCAATAAAGTTGTTTTTCTTATAAAAAAAAATAAAGAGTTTATTGACCTTGGGCTCTCATAGGTCTTGCTCCATAATGGGAATAGCATTAAACTACTGAAGAAAACTTCATTATTTTCAATAAATCTCCACCCATCTAAAGAGTTTATTGACCTTGGGCTCTCATAGGTCTTGCTCCATAACGGGAATAACATTAAACTACTGAAGAAAACTTCATTATTTTCAATAAATCTCCACCCATGACTTACCCTGGAAACTACAATTAGCTTTTCTAGCAGCAATGTGAAGGTAGTTTCCATGTTCTCCTATTTTTTACATACTCGAAGGATAGCTACTAAAGTTGACCTAGACATAAAACCAAGTTCTTCTTTATCAATTATCGTCATTCCTGTATAAATCTGATCTCAGATACTATTCCCTAAAGATCAATAACATGCTTCAATGGTTTTCTCCAAGGATAGTTGGTGTAATCATGGCTCTTGTCATTATTTTGTTCCTATAGTTGGCAATAGAGTCTCACTTGCATAGTTGTGCCTATTAGGAATTTATTTGTTTTGTTCTTTTTGAAAGGCAAGCCGACAACCTTATTCACCTATTCTAGGATGCCGATTTCAAGCATCAGTCACCATTAGGTCTGACGGCTTGTTGTAATGCAATCTCTTCATAGCCTTTTATGGTTCAACCAGTCTATTTAGTTGTATAACTCTTTTATTTTGTATTTTTATTCTTTCTAACGCATGGAACCGTAATCCACTTTTTATTGGTCCATGTAAACCCTCGATAACCTAGGCCTAACCCTAAATTGGGTATCAGGTCAATCTGAAGGTGCTAGACAGCCAAGCTAAGGCCTCCCAGCTGGGAAGGATTGTGCTCAACTAACTCATCGCATGCCTGTTGGAAAACCTGTGATCTTTGTAATGAATGAAAATGATTTTTATTCCTCTATGTTGCCATGAATTACTCGTTAAAAGAAGTTATTTATTTCTATTGTTTCCTCATCGGAGTGAATACGCAGTCCTCCGTCACGGCCCTTGCCTCATATACTTCAACTGTTTTAATGACCTTTATAATTAAGATTACTACCAGAATATCCTAATATCCGACCATGTTTTATTTATCCCCTTTTGTATATTTGGCTCTTAACTTATCAAAGAATCCACATCAAATCTTAAAACTAGCATTAACAAATAAACTGTGGCTTTCTTACCTGATTTTCTACCTCTTGGAACATACTGCATTTCTCTCACGTGAAAAATTTTATACCAATTCTCCTTTTGGCTTTGCTATTTGAATATTCTTTTTCTAGTGTATTGGCTATTAAATTAGTACATTGTCCATATTAATGACGCTTTCTTGTTTTGCAGTCACTTGCTAGGGTAATTGAATCCTGTACTGGGAACGCGCCATGCTACTCGATGATTTTGTTTCAGGATCTGCTGGTGTCCACAACACTTTCTCCTGTATGGTTAATTTTATAGATCTATTTAATCCTGATTACTTTCTATTTTATATCATTTTCCCTTTCATATTACTCAGAGCATTAAGGACATACTATAGAACCGAATCAATTTTCTTTTGCAAGAATTTTCAGTAGTAGGCATTAGGCAACATTGCTTACAGCAAGAATTTTCAGTGGTGTAATATGTGGTGATTTTGTTTTTTCTTTTCCAGGATGACACAATGAACTTATTTACATACGCTGTTCTAAGATTGACCCCACGTGCATTATCTTCTGGTGTAAGTTCATGGTCCTATTTAAGGAAAGGAACTGCACCTCATGTGGCCACTGCATCTATGTTATCCCATTACCGTACTATTTCAGAACAGTTTTATGCCTCTCGTGATATCTCTTCTGCCGTAGATAATGGTAATCGAGTAACACGACCCTTACGTCATAACAAGTGGTCAAAGGGGAAGGATGGTTTTCTTGTCACTGATATTTGGGGCATGGAGGCTGGTAGTTCGGTTGCTTCAACTCCAACAGTGTTGCTTCGCCAGTCAGAGGATAGAATGTATCTATGTCCTCATCAGCATAAAAACCTCACCATAGTTTTTCTTGTTCCTGTTTCTTCCATGCCAAACGGGGAGCAAGGTGTTTCAGTGATGAAGCAGCAATTTCTTGAAAATGTAAGTTCTCTATGCTTACTAGTAAATATTACATTATAATTCATGCAATGAATACCATCGGATTATGTGTCACCAATAGTGTATTATTTGTTGATCTTTACCCGAGTCCATAGAGGTCAACTATGCAAATTAAGCAAATTTATAATGTAGGTAGAGGTCAGCTAGGTATTACCTATTTCTTAAAATACACACCGTTGAAACTGCCACATCAATCATTTATGTATGAGGGGTCCATTATGGGATCAAAGTGAATGTCACTCAAGTAGAAGGTAAATATGTAGAAGTTGGGAAGAAATGGAGAGTTCTGCTTCATGAAGCCTAAAAGATACGTTCAACATAGTGAAAGCTTTGAAACCGATACAGGGTCGAGATATTAACTACTAATTACAGTTCCAATTCATTGGTAAAATGAGCTGGAAAAGGGAATGCCTCATGCAAATGTCTAAGTTGAAGCAACAGGTCTTTGACTATTTAACTTAATGGTTCTGCTGTACTGGCGCTGTGTAAGGATGCTATCACTTAAACGGCTTTTAATATCATTGATGGATAACAGTCAATCTTCATGCTGTATGGTTCATACCAACACCCTAAATATATCTTTCTCGTTGTAAATATTAAATTCTTGCCTTTTCTGTTGGATATTGACTGAATTCCAATTATTATCTTTACTTGTTTCCTGATTTTTATTTAGCATTCTTCTTAAGAAATTATACTGGGGACTTCGAAGTTTATCAGTCTTTTAAGCTGATTATCTTGTTACCTACTTACCAGGCTGCCCTGAAAATATTGAAAGTTGAAGAAAAATTATCAAAGGGATGGGGTGGTGAGAATGCTTATCACGTTAGTGGCTATCGTTATTTACTTGTGGATGGTGACAGAAATGTATCAAGGGCTTCTCCTCCTGGAAAAGTTGCAACGCTTACAAAGGTAAAGCATCCTGCTATATTTCATCTGGGTGAAAAGTCTTTTAATATAAAGAGTGGAACCCTTTTTACATTATTCCACATCATTATTTGACAATATTTGATTTCATAGCGTGATAGCATTTAGGTTGAAATGGATGCTTCCTTAATAGCTCCTCTTTAATGCAGTTAGTCTTTTAGGTATAAGGCATATGTAGATCAAACTTCACCACTTTCAGTTTCAGCCCAGAACCTTAGTTCAAATAGTTGTCAACAAATGACTCGTGGGAAATGTATAATTGATGTGCTGTTGGTCGGACCATTTATTTCATCTCTTGCTACTTGTAATACCTCACACTTTCGCAGTCTATTTCCTCCGACTGTGTTCGGCAATATGAAGTTGTCTGTATATAGGCTTCTGCTACTGGCTGGGAATTTGGTAATGAATCGACTTTGAAAGAATTTTTTTAGTCTTTTCTATTAAGCTGGGTGACATCTAGGGCCTAATGTAAGTGGTTTCTGCATCAGATGGGATGCTGTTCATTGAACTGACTAGCTCTTATCTTTTTCTGCCAATTCACAATTTGCTTATCTAAGCTTTATTCTCTGATGTGTTGTTTTACCCGAAGTTATCCTTGTCAACAGGCCAATCAGTTAGTCATATTGCTTTGCACGTTAGGTCAAGTTTGAGCTCCAAAGCCTAGTGCGAAGAATTTTGGACCTGAATGGTGGCTTCATGTTGCCTTTCTGTTTTACCGAATTTTTTCATGTTGCCTTTCTGTTTTACTGAATTTTTTCATGTTGCAGGAATCATTTCTGGCTTTAAATAAGCTTAGAGAAGAGGTTGATTTGGATAAATCTAGAGCACAATGGGATAATGCTGGTCATGAAAAAGAACTGGAAGTGAGCATTAGAGCAAAAAACAATGCTTGGGTTATTGCTAGGGTTACAAGAGGGAAGGAACTTTATATGGCACTAGAAAAAGCCAACGAAACTCTTCTTTATGCCTCCAATGCTATTGAGAAGTTCAGCGACAAGTACCTTTTTTTTTCCTTCAAAAGAGTTTACACCGCATCTGCTTGTCATAATCTTGCACAACTTTTTGAGTGCCTTTTGTTTCCATGAAAGTTATTTGTAGTTGATATTTCGAATGGGAGTTTTAAAATGAAACCTCTTCTTTTGGCTAAACAAAAGGGATGTACTATGCAGTGGAAGATCTGATAAGACCTATTAGATTCAGATTCATAGCCGATGATTCAAAACAATGAAAGAGATACGTTTGAAGAAAAATATGAAATATTTTCGTGATGTTTTAGAAGAATGAAAGAAATATATTTCAGGAAAAAAGAAGTAAAAAAACATAATTTTTTTTTTTTTTTTTCAAAATAATGAAATGAGTCCGTAATATGCAACTATGCATATAAGATTCATTCGTTGGTCTTTGAAACAGTGGTGCAGGCCACTTTTTGAGTCATTTATATTTGTAAGTAATGGAAGGATTTTTTAGGAGATAGATCATGATGCTAGTTCTTAGCATCCTTGTGAATTTCGACAGATGAAGCTTTTGAGGAATCTCCGATATCTATAACCATGTCAAAAGCAATCTCCGATATCTATAACCATGTTAAGTTGTTGCCCGTTGGAAGAGTGTTTCGAGTCGCTAGTGTCTTATGATTCTGATATTGCTTTGGATTTCTAACAATAGAAATGTGTTGTTCTTGTGTCATGCAGGTACTGCAATGGAGCTTTTTCGTTGGATTAGGAGGCATCTTTTGGTTTTTGACGTCAATATGCTCGCGTTCTTGGCGAGAATCGTTGTTAATATAAGCATAAAGCTAATCTATGAGCGCACAAAATGAAAGAGGAATGATTGGTGTACTCGCATGTTAAGCATTCTCCTGGATCCTGCCTCAACGCTCCACAATTGAAATGGTACTCTTTCACAGCAGTAATAGGTTCAGCTGTGACATCGTTCACAAGGAAATATAGAAATAGTTTTGTTATATATTTGTATCAATACTCGTAGATTTGCAAGGCTTTTTTAAAAATAAATAATAAATCGTAGATTGTCAGCTTGGTTAATCCAGATTATCGCTGCTTACAACACTCTTGGTTTGGTTCTGAGAAAAGCCAGACAAATGAATATTGAACATATATTAGTGAAAAATGTTTATGGAATAGGAGTAGCAGAGTAATTTGTACATTACTCCGATTGATAATGGCCGATGATATTTTTGACTTGAAATTTAACTCGGGTCTTTAACAAATTTTATGTGGACCGAAGTAGTTAGGAAAAATATTTTAGATCTAAGCCTTCAGGAAAGTTTAATTTCGAATAGAAATGCGTGAAAAATTGAAATTCATATAGCCGATCTTAATTAAGTTGGGATTAAAGTTTGTTGTTGTTGTTGTTGTTGTTTGTCTTTAACAAATTTTGAAAGATGTTTCTCTCCCATCTATTTTCCCTCTCTCTCTCTTCTCGCCAACTTTTCTGTCTCAATAATGTTGCTGCCAGCGTCCATTGGTGACCCCAAATCTAACATTCATAGGAGGCTCCATGGTTGCCTATAATTGAACATCCAGTGTGTACATATTTGTATTAAACAAACTACTTTAATTTGACTTTAAAAAAAAGCAAAACAAAATGGAAATAGAGAGCGAGAAATGGAGAGAGATTTTTTCAACTCTGGATCTTTAGAGTTACATTTATAATTTGTCGTTCTAATCGATTACACTATACTAGCAAAAAAATAATAAATAAAATTAAATGTACTAATTGCCAAAAATTAATATTGCAAGTTGTCAATCTCATTAAGTTCAGGGAATGAGGAAAAAAAAAACTATTTAAAAGCATGTCATTGTCCATGATCGAAAGAAAGCAAGTAAACTTGATTTTGAGGATTCCCAAAATTTGCACCGACATAAATACTTGGCCACAAGGAAAAGAAAAGGATAAAAGGAAAAAAATCAAACCATAAACTCACTGAGTGTACCATATTGAATGAGAGAAAAAAAAAAATCCATAAACCTCCTCGGTAATTAACAAAACACCATAATTTCATCTTAGATTTAAAAAAAAAAAAAAAAAAAAAAAAAAAAAAAAAAACAC